GGCGTCCAATAGAAATCCATAAAAATTGATCTACGGCACGTGATCTGAGAATTTTTTTCGCCATGGCTAGGGTACTAGTAAAATTGGAAATGACGAAATAAACTCTAGGGATCGACGATTAAACAACAAAGCATTGAGTAATTGTGACAGAAGTCTGTCATAAAGATCGACACTTAGAAAATAGAACAATAGAATACTTACATCATAACCTGAAAAAAAAAAAAAAAGTGATAGACTTGAACAATTAGAACACATACATCGGAAAAATTATCAAAGTGATGGATTTTTGGTATAAGGATCAACAAACAAGCTTTAAAATTTTTCGCTAGAACCATTGACCCCCAAAAAAACGCATCGTCATAGCAACATAACTATTGAATTCGAAAAACCTAGTATAAATTGAGAAAAGTTGGAACCTTTATTTTTCGTCTTTCTCTTACTCTTTCTAATAAACACAAAACCGCTTACTGCTAAAAACCCCAAAAACTTAAACTTTCAGCTTCAAAAAAAGCAAAAGTTTACGGCATAGAATTTTTTTTTTCAACACACGAACCTGGAAATATCCTCGCTTGAAGAACCTGTGAACATACGATACGGAGAATATATATATTTTTTTTTCACTCTTTAAAAAAAAAAAAAAAAAAAAAAATGAAACTAAAGCTAGAAAACTGGTATGAAAGTCTTAAACAGCTAAACGAAGCATTCACCACCTATACGAACATAATGTCATGGTCAGCACACAAAACTTCAAGACCTTCCAATTACAATTATAAAGGATATGTGTCAAAACGGGTCAAACAAATTAAGAAAAGGAACCAACAAGACTGGAGATACCTCAACGCAATTGCCTCTGAAAGCAAAGACAAAACTAACCGAAGACCTTTCGTCCGATATCACGTGACCGACAATAAAAAAACGAACGACTAAAAAAACAGAAGGACAACAAAACACTTATTTCGCGACACTATGCTGAAAACCCTTATCAAAATAAAGACTCTTTTATCACCAATAATCTTAAAGCCAATATATAAAAAATATATATATGGGTTGTATTGTTGAAAAAAGTGAAAACGCATTGGAAGAAGTATACTTGTCATGCTTAAAGATAACAGCTCAAGGTCTTATATTCGACTATGACTTGCTGGACCCCGATCAAAAGAAAGAAAGACTTTTGAAAAAAGATAGAAGCCTAGTAGGAAATGACAATACTTATCTGGAATGGTTGAAGGATTTTGAAAATAATGATAAGAACGAATCATACAATCTTGGATTACATTATCAAGTGGATGAAAATAAGGCATCTAACTATCAAAAGGCTACTGAAAAGATTGGGCCAGAAAAACGGATATTCTTGAAGTTGGCGACAATAAAGAAATTGAAGTCGAAATGGGGCAGTATGATATATATTGTTACAAAAAGGGAATCGGAGCTGAGAAAGACGAATATAACACATTCATCAGTCATCAGAAATCTTCTGAGACAAGTAATCCCAAAGATTTTAAGTATGACAGAGACGATAGTAACGTTAAATTGGATGACAGCAAAGCTGATAACGATACGACAATCGCTAGAGAAGAAAGTGGAACATACGATCTGGAATATTGTTATCAACATGGAAATGAAATATTCCACGATGTACACTGTGATGAAAAAGGATATGTTGGCAAAAAGGAACTCAGTGGAACCAGACATGAACGAAATAAACACAATTTGGTCAATTGCCACGAACTTGTTGAAATGAGTAATGTTGGCAAAATATATAATTTGAAGCATTGCAATCGAAATGAAAATAGAATCGAAAAAGAAGATCATAAGGCATTAGCCTATTATTAAGACCTTCTCGATATGGGAATTTCTAATGGAATACTTAGAGTTGATAAATATAAGACACCCAATCACTATCAAAAGTCTACTGATATTGAGTATGTTGATGAAGCATATACCCTCGAGCCTTGCAACAAAAATACGGTTAAAGACAAAAAGGAAGAACATGAGGTACCTTGTTATCATCAAAAATCGGTCGAAATGAGTAATTCGGAGGAAACGCCTCAATTCGATCATTATGATAAAAATGAAAATAAGGAAGAAAAAGGCGAATGTAGAACTTACCAGGATAGTGCCAGTAATAATATGTCAAATGATAATGCTGATACAGATACCTGTGACAACGAAGCCGATGAAGATGACACAGATGATAGCATTGAACTGGATAATATTGAAGCTAACGGCTTGGTACATTGTTACCATAATGAAATTGAAGTAGAAAAGTATAAGCATATGATATTCATTTATGATCAAGAAGCTAATGATATAGATGGCTCTGTGGAACTCGAGTTAAATGATGAAGCCAATGTAGATGTAGAAGATATTGATAATTGTGTGGAAACTTTTAAAAGCAAGGAAAGAAGAAAGGAACGACAATAGAAACGAAATACCCATCGATAAAAACCAGATATGTACCCAGTATGGAAAATTAGTTGAAAAAGAAAGCCTCAATCACGCATGTGAAATCTGGTTAAAAAAGATGGATGAATTTAGGAACACGGCTAGTAAGTCGAATAGAGTTGAACTTGAAACGAACGAACATAAAGCATTTGGTTATTATCAAGAATCCGTGAACTTGGATCATGCATATAACTCTTGGATAAAAAAAGTAGATGAATTTAAAAGGATGATCAAGAATGACATAGGCGAAATGAAAAAGAAGGAAACATACCCAAACAATTCCAGAGAACTTCGACCACCTGCCGATATGGATATTATTCCTGGAAACTGTTACCAGAATGAAATCGAAATTAAAAACGACAAACAAAAGACATTTATCTATTGGCAAAAAGCTGTTGATTTGGATAATATGGATGGATTGTATAATGACAGACACTGCCATCAACATGGTGTTAGAGTTAAAAAAGATGAGCATATAGCATTCAATCATTATCAAAATAATAAGTGGCATAATTTTGATAAAACGTGCTTTGACAAAACGTTCGATCCTGGAAGAAAATTGAAAGCTATAACCTTCCAAAACCAGACTAAATTCGTGGAACGAATTATTAAAAAGGGGAAAATTGTTATGCATAAAAATAGAATCGGCGATGAAAAGTTCACCAAAAATGGGCGAAAAGCATTTAAACGATGCTGGAACACTGCTAAAGGTGGAAATTCGAATGAACGATATGAGCTTGGATATTACCATCAAGACGGAATTAGCTTTGAAAAAGATGAACATAAGGCATTCTCCTGTTATTAAAAGTCTGCGAAAATGAATAATGCTGATGAAGCAATTGGACCCGATTACAAAAATGAAATAAAGAAGAATGAACGAAAGGCATTCATTCACTATTGAAGATTAGTCAAACCAATTAAGAGAAAAGCAACCTTTTTACTTACTACTACGACAGACAAGACCCTGCCTATTTGATTCTGGAGGACTGAGATTGTTCGTGGAATGAACAAATTAGGTGGAGGAAAATGTCATGATTGCAAATCGATCGTCGGTATAATATGACCGAATTGGGCGATCGATTGCATATTTGTTTAGGTTTGGCGCCCGATAGAAGTATCGGATTTAGTAGGATATTTGGGATATTTGGAATATTTGGGATATTCGGGACATTTAGCACATTCAGCATATATAGTATATTTAGCATATACGGTATATTTAGTATATACGGTATATTTAGTATATTTAGCATATAGGCAAATCGTATATAAACGTAGCATTTATTCTGATGTAAAAGATAGATTCGGATATCTCAAATAATAAAGAAACCGTTTACCGGCCAAATCCACGCCTCTTTCGAGGGTGGTATTTTTTAAGTAATTACACCATCTAATTGTATATCACATACGTACGTACGTACCTGGTTTTAGCGCGACAACGTTACGCTGCTATCCTAATTAATAATTGAAAAATGATCGAACATATCGACAGCTATGTCGTGTAGCTTGGGTTTTCAGCCAATGGATTCATACATCTTGTCAAGTTATTTTTTATCGTTGCTTGTTTATTATTTTATTCTACTTTTATAATAAGAATATCATTTAAATGTAGTGAAAAAAGTTTTTTATTCCATTACGATAAGGCCATACAAACTTAATTAATTGGTTCTCATAACCCGGCCGGGTCAAATTCAACAAAAGTTTGAAAAAATTTTTTACTATATTTATTATCCGGGTGAACCTTTTTAAAAAAATTTTATATGTTTTTTACATATAAAATTTTTTGAAAATAAAATTAAAAGCCGGGTTGCCGGGCCATTTTTAAAATTTTATGTTATGAGAACCAAAAAATTAATTTTCTATGGCCTAAATAAAACATAATAAAAAATTTGCCAAATAAAAAAAAAATAGTGTTTAATACAGTATATAAATAAAAATTACATATCGATAGTGTTTTTTCAAATGCATCTAACACATTTCCTCTATATACGAATATTGAACTAATCCACACAAAAGGCTCCTAAGCTCATTTCTTTGCTTTTCAGTTATTTCTATAGATTCTATTTTAAATTGATATCCTGTTTTCATTCTAAGAACTATTATAGATGTATAAATAACATATTTTTCAGCAATATTCATTGGATTACCAAATTTAAGTATTTCGGCCAGGTTTTTTATATCTTTTTCTTCTGTATCATCTTCGAGTTGAGGTTTGTCATGAGAACTCGTGCTCGTATTAGTTTCTTCATTTGGTAGAATCTTAATGATCATATAACCCAAAAAGGTTACAAATGAATAGGGCGCGTAAAATAAAAGTAAATAAGCTATAATAATATAGAAATAAGGTGAAGAATCAAGCCGTTTTTTAAATTCACTTAATCCATCTCCTATTAATTTGATTGTTCCGTATTTCTTCCTTCTACTTTTCTTATTTCCATAAATTCTTACTTTATATTCTTCCACAATATCCTTATTTCCAAAGAAAATTACTCTACCATAATCATCTAGAGTAACATTATTATCATCAATTAAATATAGTCTTTTCGAAAAAACGTAATAATATGTCAAAATTGCTATAACTACTTCTATTGTAGGTTTTATAAATATAAATTTCAAAGTATATATAATCATCTTCATATGATCAGAAGATATAGGAGGTTCTATAGTACAATTCAACATTTTCTCAACTTTTCGGTCAAAGAAAGATAATATTGCATTATATAACCATAAGCAACCAATAATGATGATGCTTATAAAATCAATATGTATAAAATTATTACGTGTATGTAGGATAATAACATTACTATTAATCAAAATCGAGAAAACAGAAGTAGTAATAACATATAAAGATAATATAGCAATAATTATTACACCATTTGTCTTTTCAGCGTTAATAAGATATTCGATACGATCTAAAAACCTTAAATAATTTTTACACTTTCCAACTAGCTCATCATTTATGAGTTCATCAGGTATCGGTAACATCGCAGGCATGAGTACTTTATCAGATGGAAGTGTAATATTTTTAACAGCTCCAACCAACGAAGTAACGGTATCCTTATTTCGTTTCACTCTTGGCCAAGGAGATTTAAAAGAGCCAAAACTCCACTACTAGCAAGAACACTCGATGTTACAATATGAACCGTATCGCTGATATCTTTTTTCCAGAAAATATAAAGAAACGCTATTCCAAACAGAATAACAAGTGGTGACATCACGAAATTGAATAAATTTAAATTATTTCTTCTTTTTAAAAGTATTTCAATTTCTTCCCATCTTTCTTTTAGCAACATAAGTGCTTTGACTCTTTGTTGCGAGGTTTGAATTTCTTGGTCTCTGTTCCATTTTGAAGATTATAATAACGAAAAATTGTTAAGTTTAATTTGATATCTGATATAGGTTACTCAAGAGGATTCATTAAGGCTTTGGCGAAAGAGGTGAACCACGCTTGTGTATAAAAGGGTTGTATAACTTTTATTACAATGTAAAGTTTGTGTCACAATGGCACGTGATAACTACTACTGTTTCTTTTTTAATATTCAGGGTTAAATTTAACGTGTATTAAGACATGATCTGTCTTATTAGACAAAATACAAGATGTATAATGCAAAAGAGATAAGAAAAGGTGGAGAATTCAAAATATAAAAGGAGAATCGAAGTCTGAAGGTTAGATTCAAGGCAAATTCGAAGCTTTTTATACTTGTTGGTATATAACATCGAGAAATTTTTTTCTACTCAGTTCTGTAATATTCTGCGAAAATACAGAATCGGATTTAAAAATCCTGTAAAATACAGGAATGGATTTAAAAATCCCGCATTTTCGCAGAATACAGTATTAGTAACATTTTAGTTAACTTAATTGTAATAATATCGTCTTAACATTATTTAGAATAAAAGTACCTAAATTGTAACCCATTTGTAGCTGTTTTCTTTTTGTTTCCACATTGCGGTACAAGCTTCCTTTGTGGTACAAATTTTTCCATGGAGCTTCTAGCAATTACGTACTTACAATTACGTACGTACGTACATATATGTTCAGATGCAAATTAGCATTAGTCATTCAGCGCCATTATCATTATCGTTTTCCGTCTTGTACGTACGTACGTATTAAATTGAAAACACATCGTAAGGTGATTTGTCCGGTTTGGAGCACTAGATGATGTGAGAATAGGTCAATTTTGATTATTTTTGATTAACAATCATTCTTCGCTTTACTCCGGACATTCTTTTGATTTATATACACACAGAAAATTGTTCATCCCTTGTAATATTGGCCAATCGAATTTCAGGATCAAGTGTAATTTAAAAATCTATGTTAAGCCACTTTTTTACAAAAAAACGAGAATAGCTCTAAACTTTAATTAGGAAACCACCTTCTGCGGCCTAATTGAAAATGTTCCTCGTGAAATTTAAAATTTGATTGGTCAAAATTACAGGGTGAACAATTTTGTAGGAACGCTACCTAAAATGTAAAACAATGTAAAACGTCAAAAAGATGATCAATTACATAAAAGTGTCATGCGCGCTATTGCAGACATGATGCAGGGTGTGATATTAAAAAAAACGTACAAATCGGAGCTTTATGTAAAGAATTTGAGGTGAATGCATCTAATTAATAACCCTTTATTTTACACAAAAAATTTTTTTTTTCTAAAATTTACATTATATAATATAATAAAGAACAATTTATAGGACACTTCTCATACAGACCAGTTTCGAGTCTTACTTCATTTTTTTAGAGTTAATATAACGGCATCTATGAATATTATGACACATGTTTGCATTACCCGAGTCACGACTGTAAATGCTTGAATTCGTGGCGCAGCAAAAATTCTTTAAAGTTCGTTTATGTTAGGGTTAGGGTTGGTGTTAGAAGTTAAGAGGGAGAGCTTATATAATAAAATTGCCCAACGAAAACTTTTTGTTAGAGCACTAAAGTGTTTTTCTTATTCTGAATTTCGAGAAATAGCGATTTTTGACAAAACGAACGCTTGTTTTGAATCTCGATCCGTGTTACGTTACACCTGATCTTGAAATTTGATTTGTAGTTAAGGAAATCTGCGCTATGAACCTCAAGAATTGCGAATGGTAAATAAAATTACATCATCGATCATATTTCTGCATCAATGCTGCTAGGGACCCTGGTTTTATGCGATGCGATGCGCATAATTGGCCAATTTTTAGCATAGCATATGCGAAGCATAATTTGACCAAAAATCGCATAATCATAATTGGCGCCCGTTGATTGGTCAATTTTTAAATCATTCGATTCTTTTTTTTTATTGTGATTTTTTTTCTTTTTGGATTCATTCTAGCACCGTACTGGATATTAATATTATAATATCCTAAACCAGTTAACTCATTAAATTAATTACTTAAATTCTTTATGTGATTGTTGATGCGCCAATGTTGGCTTCCTTTCAATCTTGCCGTTAACGTGAAAAAAAATTAAAAAAATCATATCTGCAATTTTTTTTTTTTTTTTTTTTTAATATTAATGGTGAGGCATCTGCAATTTTTTTTTATGTCTTACGAATTAATTTTTTATAAAAAAAAATTTTTCATTTTTTTGAATTTTTTTTTTTTTACAAAAAAACATTTTGTTAAATTTTTTTTAATACAATTATGGTATCTGCTTCAGAACGTCTTGTCAAAAACCCAAAGTATAAATCAGATTTTTATGCTAGTGGTGGAAAACTTTTTTGTAAAGCATGTGAAATTGTAGTAAATCATGAAAAAAGTCTACAATTGATAATTATTTAAAATCGGATGCACATACATCAAAAACTCAAAGACCTGTACAATCTACCTCTCACCAAGTTGGAATAAAGTTATTTCAGCAAAGTAATGATATTAAAGAAACTTTCATTGAAGATTTTCTTCGTATATTTGTTCAAGCTGATATACCTATTGAAAAAGCAAACTATTTTAAACCATTTTTAAGGCAATATTGTAAAAATAGTAAAGATAATTATATATATTTTTTTAAAATTTTTTATTTTAATTTTTTAATTAATATATGTTTAATAGGTGGAGTTATTCCTGGGCCTAATCAATTACGTAGTAAATATCTTCCTTTATTATATCAAGAAGAAGAAACAAAGCTTAAAAATGAATTAAATAATAAAAAAATCTGTATTACAATTGATGAAACTACAGACTCTTGTGAAAGAGCTGTAGTTAATATTTTGTTTAGTTTTTTTAATAAAACTAAGTTGGTAAAAACTAGTTTTTTAAATGTTGTTAATAATACTACTATTTCTCAATTAGTTATTACTACATTAACATTTTATAATATTTCTTTTAACAATGTAATTTTGTTTATTACAGATAATGCTTCTTATATGTTAGTAGCATTTAAAGTTCTCTCTTCTTTAATTCCCCAATTAAAACATAGCACTTGTTTTGCTCATATTCTTAACTTAGTTGGTGAAACTTGGATAGAATATAAAAATTTTAAATTTTTTGATCATGTAGTTAGTTTAATTAAAACAACTTTTACATATTCTCCAGCTAGAAAAAGAAGATGGATTAGTTTTCTTTCTGCTAATGGTATTTTAAATCCTTTATTATCTCCTTTACCAGTAAAAACCAGATGGAATTCTTGGTATAATTTTGTTTTTTGGTTAAATAAACATTTTAATTTTTTTATTGAGTTTTATCAAGAAGAAGAAAAAATAGAAATAGTAATTCTGCTATTTTAGAACTTATTAAAATTTTTGAAAATAGTAATAATATTTTTTTTCTTCAATATATTATGCATTTTATTACTTTTAATATGCAACAGTAAGTAATTTTTTTATTTACAGTATTAATTTTAATTTAATTACTAATAATGTTTTTATTATTAATTAATAGATTAGTAAATAATATTAAATTTTTTAAAATTCGTGATAAACCTTTACCACTATATCTAGAACAAATTTAGCAAGACTGCACCCACATCAATGGACACAGATATTATTACTAGCATGACAGCA